TTAATCAGTTATTTATAACCAATGTCAATACCATTGATTATAAATAGTACTATTTACGTCTCACCGAGGACCGACCGCCGACGTTTAGCAACGATTAAAAGTATCATAATATTATTTTATTCCATTATAATTGACAAAATTCCTTATCGCCCTCTATTGGCAAAAGTTTCTTACTCAGCATATTTTGTATTGCAGTGAGCTATCTATACCATTTATAATCAATGATATTATGCAACATTTTATACAACATATTTTGAATGAAATAATAAATAATGATAAAAAAATATATTATAAAATATAATACATTGACTAAAATAAAACTATATAAGCTATGAAATAATTATAACATGACGTAAAAATGTCGTAATAATTTAAAATAAATGTATGCTTGATACATAAATAACCTAACCTATTGAATTTGTAACGACAAGAAATCTCATTTGAAATTAATTATTTATTGAACATAGTATATATTATTATATTTCACTTGTGTTTTCCGGCTAATAATTAAGTTGATTGGTTGATATATTTATTACGTGACTATTTATTAATAAACTAGCTGACCCAACATACGTTGTCTTGTTTTAATTATTAATATTGAATTCGAATTGGTATAATTAATAAAAAAAAAAGTATTAATAATTCTAATGATTTATGATACATATAAAATATTCTTAGTTTTTTTCTAGCGCGTATATAAATAGTTTCGTTGATATTCCGATGAGAGAACAAGCTACATAAAACAGGCCATATAAAAAACATGGATTTTCAAAATTGATGTCACAAACACTTAGCAACTGCCCTTAAGATTTATTTATCGACATTGCAAATGCTAGCCGCACTGGAAATTGCATCACGTTTGACTCAGAAATATTAGAGAGTATTTTAAGTACACGTAGAAATTTTAAAAAAATTGTTTAATATTTTGAATTAGAAAAATGCGCTCAAAAAAAAAAAAAAAAAAAAAATGATATACAATGTGCTATGGACAGACACATGTGTGAATGTTTTTTTTTTAAAAATATTTTGATAAGTTCTCATTTACAACATGTTTCATCCTGTTAGGTGCACTCACATGTATATATATTTAAAATAATATTTTTTTTTACGATATTTTGTACGATGTACGATATTTTGTATGTTTACATTTTTTTTTTTTCAATTTACTTGCGATGATTGCATTATGTTGGGTTAAAACGACTGAGTAAATATTGTATTTTGTTTGCTCCTATATATTATTTTACCAAAATTTTTCATTATAATATTAATTACTTTACGGATCATGAATCCTTGGTTGGTTAGTTTAATTATTTTTTCCTACATTCTCATTATTCTTCGGAACGTCGTACTTTTTCGTGTACTATTATGATTTAATTTGTGAAATATAGATAAAGAATCATGCGTTTTAAAGGAGGTAATGGTTATTTGGATTTTATTCATGATTAAGTCTTTGTTTTAAATACAATAGTATATCATTACAATAATATTTTTTTTCAAATATTTATAGTGATTAGTTGTAATACGTTTTTGTATAACACTACTATATGCTATTTATTTATCGTATTTAGCAATAAATTCCTTATTATTTTTCAATGATATACAAGGCCGATTTTTAAAAGATATTAATATAAAAATTCATATTTTATATTCTTAAATTTAATTTTAAATACTCTTGATAAGGATAATACATAAATGTTAAAAGTATGGTTGTGTTACAAATCACGTAGAACTGTATCAAGGTACAAAGAATAAAATATTTATAGATATGAATACAAAAATACTATACATAATTTCAAGATTAATTCTTTCGACATTCTAAACTGTCATTTAATGTGTAAAAAAAATAACTTCAATGTCCAACTATTGTTTATGGATATTTATATTGTATTGCCTTTTAATTGGTATTATCTTTACTATTTCTTATGTTAAAATACCACAAGTCAAATAATATATAGAATTGATTTTTAAAAATACATTTTTTTTTTTTAAATTTGTATTTTCTATTGTTAAGTATAATACTTGTTAAAATCATTTGAAAAATATACAATCAGATTATATATAAATAACAAATATTCTGTATTTGTTATGTATAAATAGTACTTTTACAGTTCAAAAATATTTGCATAAGAATCATTAAAAATAATAATTTTCTCTTGCCATTAAAATCGGAACTCAAACATGAGGATTTGCATACAAATATTTTTGTTAAGCTCCTTATCCTACGTAAACACATACGTCAAAAGGAATAAAATAATTAAAGTGAGAGCAATTTGTGATTCGTGTTGGACTATATAAGATTATTTAAGAAAGAAAATACTATTGTTCAAACACTTTGAAGTTAATAACGAAAACATAATAAATTTGTAAGAATCAAATAAAATATTTAAATTTACATTGAGCGTCATTTAAGCTTTATAAGTCCTATATAGTGTATGTAACAATAAATTACAGCACTAAATTCATTATTCGATTTGGCTATGTGTTATAACCTCTGTATTAAATAATTTCTGTAGAACATTGTTCTCAATTCATAACAATAATATGTTCATTATCACTTTAAGCTTATAGGAAATTCATTGCTGTGATTTATTTATTTATTTATGTGGTAAACAAATAAATTATTTTACATTCCAATGCATGCATAATAAATATTTACATAATTATATGCACATAAAACATATAAAAATAATTTTAAATTTATATATTAGACTAAAGAATTTTTCCAATATAGATTGGGTTTTCAATATATTTGCAATAGCATTTAATAATCTTTATGATTTTTACTTATATTGATTTTTTATACTTGCGTGTACATTTTAGTACACAAACGTTATTTTTTTTTACCAATAAATAAATATGATTATATTTAATTAATATTACAGCCAAATGTTTAATTAATACTACATGAAATACATAAACAACAAAAATGTAAATAGATAAATATTTCTCACTATATCAAATGTTCTTTTTTCTCGTATTGCTGTTAATCAACATTTTTTTTATAAATAATTAAAATCTGAATTCCTACTATAAACCGTGAAATTAAAAATTGTTTGTATATCGTTTTGAACATAATATTTTTTTAATGTGGTAGTATATACTATACATACAAAATTACGAAATGATAAATTTTAAAAAGGAACATTATTTATGTATTATACATTTTTACATACAATATACAAACTGTAAACATTTTGAACACATAACAATACACAAATGGAAAAAATAAATAGCAATTTTTCATGAAGAAACTTTTTACCTTTTAAAACAATATACGACATAAAGTAAATACAAATGTAAATTAAATATTTATTAAAATTTGGGTTTTTATTCATTTAATGGCATATTTTATTTATAATTTTACAAATAAATATGTTATAAAGGTATACATTTTTTAAGTAAATATTATGCATAAACATGAATTACGCTGTTATATTTATCAAATATTTACGCATTTTATTATATAATGTATGATAAAATTATTTTCGTGATAAAGTCTAAAGCAAAAGCATACATAAATAAATTATTGGTGAATTATTGCCTTTTTAAATACCAAAGCACAAAATTCTAAACAACCAAATTTTCGAAATTATTAATCTTCATAATGTCAGAATTTCTAAATCACATCTAAATCGCGGGACAACGAAAGTACAAAAAATGATCTTATACCCTTCAACGGTTAATTTTAATTTTTAATTTTTTAACATAAAATTTTAAAATATTGTATAGTGTTAACATATATACATATGTTATATGTTATGAATATCTTCTTCGTGCTTGGCTCGTGGTAGAGGCACAGAATTACAAAAGTGTTATTGATGACTAAATAAATATAAATTGTGTTTCTGAGTGCAGTTCATAACGGACATAAGATGCCTCCTATCGTAGGTTCAGATTAAGAAACTATGTTATTGGGTTGGTCTTAACGTTAACTTGAACCGGATAAAAACAATTAAAACAGATAAGATCAATTTTTTGCATTGCTCACATGAAATTCGTCGCATTCGCACGTTATCAAGATACATGCCATGCCAAAATAATTAATATTTTTTAATAAAATATGTATGTTACAATAATGTAAGACGTTTTCTAAATTATATCAAAATGGTACAATTACCGTTAAATACCTGTACACGTCTATGCATTGTCGTCGAAAAAGTTTTTTTTTTTGCGTCTCATACTGCAGTCCTTTGACGTGCCATCATTTGGTGTCACTTTATATGTTTTTTTTTTTTTTTTTTTGTTCGCTACACCAGTGGTATAACCAGAGACGTATTTAGGGAAGATGAGGGGACATATTTTTTTTGGAATTAAGAGGTGGCAAAAATTTTTTTGTAACCATAATCCATCAACCATTTTCATTTGTCAATCAAAACATTTTAGTATTTTAAGATTTTGCATAGCGACCACACTGCGTTTTTTATTTTCATGATATTATCAAAAGTCGACCGTATAAAATCCATATATAATAGATATTAACTTTATTGAAAAATCGTATGAAACATGTGTAGGGGTGGCAATAAAACTTTACACTTTACCTGGGGCGTTGAAAGTCTAAATACGTCTCTGGGTATAACCGCTGTATCAGCACCAAACCAGAACGGGAAAACGCACATAAGTAGAGTGAGAATTGTGTTCATTTAAAACTAGGTAAGTGCTTAATCGAGAATGTAAAACTTCTTAAGTTGAAGTCGTAAATATATATTAGGTTACGGGAATAACGTGAATACCAAACTAAACAAAACTTAAACATCTTATTGGATTATCGGGGTTAATAAAAATCAAGACAAGTGAAATGCGTGCACGTGATTTCGAACTGATCAAGGAATCGTAGCAATTAATTCGTAGCAGTTCATCAAATGAGCATATCACGTTCGGCCGTAGGCTTTAAATGTATAATATACATACCACGTTAATATGTTGTACAATATAAATAATATTAATAATGTTTTGCATCGACGCCTAGCTGTTATAATACAAATGTTTTCCGTCTATTTCAGTGTGCAACATTACCATAAAAGCGGACCTACTACTGGCACGGTCCAATTCGACGTTTGGCCAGATCAAGTCTCCCGCGCTGTCCGGCCCAGACCATTGCTGGTACACGTTGGATCCCGGATATAATAGACGAGTGGAACTGCAGGTGTACAGACTCATAAACGCGGGCCACTTCAACGGCACCAGGTGAATACGAATAAATCTATCGATTCGTCAATCAATACTCTAGTTTACTAATGAAAATCATCAGTACAAACAGTATTGCTATAAAAAACTTCACGGAATTTCAAAGAGCGATCAATTAAAAGCATAACGATATTTAATTTGTTATTCTTGCACACGAGTGTGCCGTGCCTATTTGAACAAAACAATTGTTGAAATCCTTAACAAAACTATCAGTATATTTAAACGGAAACATCAGACAGAAACTACGTGTTTCTTGTTAACGTATCGCCAGTTGAAATTCCGTAAAGTAAATTGTTAATTTAAGAGTATTATATAATTAAGGAACTTGGCAAAAAATTACTGTCGCTCGAGTTTGTTTAGATTCCACTCGTACGAATGCTCGACATAATCGACTTTATTCACTCTCGTCACATGTGTACGTCTGTGTATGTACGTGTACGCGCTTAAAAGTGGAATGGACAAGATTGTACATGAGCACGTTTCCTTTTTTTTTTTCGTCCGGATTCATAAGTAGTACCGTAACGCAAACTGATTGGCCGTGCACACGCCAAACGGAGCCTACAGTTAAAGCTAATAATATTTTCATCGGATATAATACACGTACAAATTTCCTGTATGTTTGCGTCATTTACCCCGATTTATTATTAATATTCTATTTAACATCTGAATTTTCGATAGTATGAACATCAAATGGCGTCGGGGTTCCATTGTTACAATTCAACATTTTAAACTGCTTTGTCCCAGAAATGCAATATTATTTTTTTTATTTTGTTTCAAACTTTTTTCACACACATATACACACACAAACACACACGTGCAACATATAAATGTATCATAAAATCAAAAGTACAAAACACAAAGAATGTTTTTAAACACAGCATAATGGATCATTACACGAAGTTATGACGTAAACGTAAAATAAGTTAAAAGAATCAAATATACGTATATACAGAGTGTTTCGTCGAGATTCATCAAAAGCGATATGACTTGTGCTAGTAGATATTTTAAAACTTTGTTTTTTTTTTTTTTTTTTTTAACACAAGTTTAATAATATTCAAAAATTATTATTAAATTATAATATTAAAATATTTCATATGCATCATTTTTTTATTAAAAATACTAAAAAAATTAAATTTTTATTTTACGGCATTAAAAATATTCAAAGATTCTCAAATTTCGTATTTTTTTTTCTTATAAGTTTTGTTCAGCCATTTATTATGACCCATCGTAGTAGATAAATTCAATACCAATGGAAAATGTTCGATATATATATATATATAATAAGGTTCGATTGATAAACTATAGCAAAACACCAATGGCCAATGTGTAAAAATTTTACATATACCTACCTAAAGTTGTTGATAATTAAAAATAATAAGTGTTAATAAATAATTTATAATGTCTCTACTCATAAAAATTTTAGAGCAAATATAAAGAAAAATTTAATTATATAATATTGTATTCATTAAATTTTAGAAATTAATATTTTGTTAACATTTAAATATTTCATAAAATTCGTATCCACTTCAATAATATAATTATTGAAATATGGGTTTTCAAAATAAAATGTATAAGAAAATATAAAAAATGCATAATATTTTCATAAATAACTATAATTTATGACTATAGAAATTAATTAGTTAACTAGCTAAACAAACTATATTATAAATCTGTATAGATAATGTTTGTATTAATATTTTATAAATAAAATTTTTAAATTTTAACACTTAATATTTAAGTAAACTTATAAATATATTATACTAGTATGAACTATACACTAGAAATACTTTATTTAAAATACCTTTTTTAGTAAGTGGGAAAGATTACCATAATGTAAAGCATAATTGTATCTTTCTTGTAGTTCTGAATTAATCGTCTATACGTTTTTATGAAAAAAATTAACATTAATTTATAAGTGTGATATTATTGGTTTTTTTTTTTTTTATATATTTTAAATTAATGGATTTTGAAAATAACATTTTTCATTAATAATTTTTATTGTTATTTTGTGAACATGACTACATTTTGGAGAAAATTGAATCATTAATAATCTTTTTATTTAATTTTAAAATATATTGTTTTACACGTATATTGATATTTTTTGAAACTTTTCAATAATTTATATTACTATTATATTTTACCATACTAGAAGAATATTGCGTCTCATATAAATATTATGTAAGAATCCATAGTTAGATATTTTTAAAATGTGGGTTAAATAGTACTGATATAAGAATTTAGGAGTAATAAGTGAATTAAAATTATTAAAAAGAGAATTTACTTCATTCTTTCTGTTACTATTAAAATTTGGTAGAATTTATAAAAGCACTTTTTTTGGATATTTTAAATATTAAAGCATAAAACTTTTAAATAAATAAGGATTGATATCTATAAACAATAAGTTGTCAGTAAATCATTGTTCTAGGGCCGTTAAGTCGGAACAATAGACATTCAAAATATATTTTAATTTCTCACGTTTCTTAATTGTAGATATTATGTGTTTTTAATAATATGACAATAGAGGTATTTCCTTTAAATATAATGAACATTTTTCTATGGGAGTCGAAGATTTAGTGTAGTCACTAGTTTGTGAAATAAAAGTTTAAGTGATTTGAAATAAAGGGAATAGTAGGAAGTTGTGACCTAATGTACGTCGCGAAAAAAGCGACTACTTGGCGCCTGGTGGGATTAAGTTTCCGAAACTGCTGGTACATGGGTTGTAAAAAAAATAGTTTTGTGCCAAAAAATAATATTATATATTATATAAACTATTTGATTTACTTATCATGTTAAATAATTGAAAATTTTGCATGGAAAAATCGAAGTGAAAAAATTACTGAAAAAATGTTTTACTAAATAACAGTAATTTAATGAAGTGTGTTCGATTGATTTTCTTTATAGACTTATTTGTATAATTTCATGTCATTTTACTATGCTATCTAACTATGTTAATATCCTTTCATTACATTTGATTATTACCTTACCTTTATTATTATATTTAAAACTGTTTCGAGAATCATATTGTTAAATTTAAATTCCCAGAAATGTTGCATAAAACCTAAAAAGCAAATATTTTTATCCAATCTAAAAGTTTAAATAACTCAAACATATTTTTTTCGGAAATGGTTAAATATGTTATAATATAAAAAAAACCAAAATACTTTAGCATGTCTGTAAATTTAATATCAATTACACGAAAAAAAAACTATAGGTTTTCGAGGAATATTAATGACGGAATGATATAAGCTTAAGATTTGTTATAGAAATATAAATCTTATAAAAATAAATGGTTCACCAGACTGCTAATAGATACCTTAAAAATAAAGTATTCAGAATTTTCAATATTAATAATTTTCTTCTACCATAACGCAGTAAGTCACATTATATAGGTTTATAGATAATTAATATACGAAAATTACTAAAAACGTTTTTTTATACTGTGTTTATGATAAAGAACATTAATACTTGTTTTCTCAACCCAATGGCCTAAGGGTAAATTTTTATAATTATTTTATGTCAGTAAATTAATGACAATAGCACAATAAATATAGCTTTAACAAAAGAGAAAATACGAATTATCATCAATTCTAGTCATAAATGACAATATTGTACTATAATCTCGAATGTCAGAAAAAGCAATCAAAAAAATCTCATATTTGACATCGATAATAGAATTATTTATATACATTGATTGAAATTAAACTAAAATTAAACTTAACCCTTAGGCAAGTCCATAAGTACATAACGTAAATAAAAATATATAAGTATGAGTATTTATTAACATTCGTATTTGAATGTTTATTAAACACACAACTGATTAAAGAATTGATGCAAAATTATATTTTGATTAATATCTTCCTTAGGTAAATTTAATATTTTCTATTATATTATACATGCTTGTTGAATAAAAAATATGTATACATAAATAATTATTGAATCATTTAAAGTTAAATTTATAACTGTTCTAATTCAAAAATACTTTTTTCAATTGACAAAGAACACATTCCATTTAAATAATATTTTATTTTAACAAAATATTATTTTCTCGCTCAATTTATTACACATACAGAATCAACTTAAATTTATGTTAAGAAAAACCATTATATTTAAAATACTGTAAGTATTCTATTAAATACAGAATCAAATAATAAAAAAAAAATGAATGCATTTTATTCTAAAATTGTAACAAAAATAATAAATACTGAATACCATTATCGTATTTGCACATGAAGAGCTACTGAAAAACGATAGGTAATAGTCAAAAAAGAAAAATAATCTGATAATTATATCATCTTGTCATTTATTTTAATTTTAAATAGTAAATTCCATTATTTTTTATTAACTTTATAATAAATTAGTTGTATTACAACACTAAATTTTTTTTTAAAGTATTTTTGTATTTTGTCTCTTAGTTTTTTTTAATTCTGAAACTTTAAAACCGCAATACTAAATAGTTTAAGAAAAGTGAAGAAATGAAAATTCTAAGGTGGATGAGTAGAGTGACAAGAGAAGATAGAATAAGGAATGAATATGTAAGAGGTAGCGTTGGTTTAACGTCTATAGTTGTCAAGATGAAAGAAAATATACTGAGATGATTTGGAAATGTGGTGAGATGAGAGGAAACAAATGCAGTAAGAGTTTTTATGAAAATGATCGTTGAACAGAAAATAGGAAGAGGAAGACCAAAAAAGAGATGGTTGGATACGATTGAGAATGATGATGGCCGTTGGTGTATGCGTAGGGGATGTAGAAAATCGAGACGAGTGGAGGTTTAGGATAAGGGTGGCCGACCCCAAATAGTTGGGAGAAAGGCAAAGGAGAAAAAGAAAACTAAACAGTTTAAGAATATTGACTGTCATAGTTTTTTTCCAGTAGCCTTTTACATAGTTAGGTGCGTATATATAGTTATATTTTATCAATCATTATAAAATAAAATGTTTACAAATTCAAAATTACATAAAATATTCTCAAATTAAAAAAGTATAATTTAATAAAATATA